TCTCCGCCCCTTCCATAAAAAAATTTAAAGTAGGGCTTAGTCAACATGTACAAATAAAAGAAATATTTAAATAAATAGTTCTAATTCCACGAATTCACCTTCTAGAATGGTATTCTCAACTTGATATATTAACCCTTATTTTGTAACAATTACCACTATACGTTACTCGTAAACAAAAAAACAATTTCTGCACAGCACAGTTAATATCAAAGCGGAATCAGTTTCCGCTGAAAATATCTGCAGGCCAGCTGGGGAATGCGAGATTTGTAAATAATGACGAGAATGTGCAGGGGAATTACAGAAGCTGTGCATTCTACGAAAACAAGGGTTGAACTCAAAAGGGATTCCACACGTTATTCTCAAATTCCACTCCTATAAGTTTATTTAAGGCTCTAGTAATATATTGTATTAAAAAAATATGATACAATTTAAATGAAGATGACGTTTATTCATTTAAATGGTGTTTTACAAACTTTGGTCGATTGAAGAGTTCGACAGGGTGTCCGAAAATGCAGTCAAGAATCTGTCCGTAACAAATCTGTTGTGATGCAAAGAAATGATTAATCTTCCCAGTGGTAAATACCGCCTAAGTCTAATGTTTCCTGTGTGGCAATAGAATGTATATATAAAGATTGTTATACGCTGTTGTTTTGGATATACCTAATGTTGTTTTAGTTTAGCCGAGACTATTACTGTTTTTATTATATATACAGGTGTTCCAGAAAACAGTGGTAATACAGCAACGATAGATTCCTAAGTTATAAACAGTTGGATTTAAATCAACTTACCTTACTCCAAAAATGTTTTGTTTAAAAGTTACAGGCTATTAGTCTTACTTTTAAATGGTTTTTTATTAATTTGTGAGAAGCGGCATATGATATGTGACTCTAATGTGGTACACGTTATAAGGACGAGGAACGAAATAAAAAATTATCTTCAAACACCTCACCTTTTGTATCAGTGGCTTACGGAGGGATGTGAGATTTCGCTTATCAATCTTTTAAGAAAAACAACTGTGAATTTTTGAATTATCTGTTCATTGCACATAAAAAATGTCTCTTGTCAATTTATCTTAAAAATATTTAGGTTTCGAATAAAAAGAAAATATTCTATTTGCTTTTGCGAAAAAAATAATTTTTAAGATACCAATTAATCTTCTATTTTTCGGAGCAGCAAAACTGAATTTTCTCTTTTTACTAGTTTCTTTAAGAATTAACAACAGTTCGCTACTGATGTAGGGAAAGAAATATTTGAGGATTACTTTTATTGCTTATAACGGGTAGAAAGGACCTTGCACTGTTTTTATAAAAATGTGGGCTCGGTCAAATTGGTTGAAATTGTGGTAAGTTGTTGGTTTTGTGTAACTAACCAAAAGTACTTGGGTCCGAAAATCAATTCTTTCCTATTTATAATGGTCTAAGTCAGTTTTGCTGATGATAAATAATTGATTTTCGGACCCAAGTACCTACTGTGGAGACTTTCAGCCACTTTGAATCAAATATCATATGTTGGTTTCCATATATTAATGAACAAACTTTTCAAAATGCAAGATTTTAACACCCTATTATCTTAGTTAATGAAGCAACTAAGTTGACTTAAATTTTAATGTTTGTATAACTTGTTTTCTGCGACACCCTGTATATATTTTGTCAAAAATTGATATTAATGAAAGTTATTTGATACATACATAGCCGAACAGTATCAAGTAGCTAATATATTTTATTTTTTTGTACGTTAAAATTTAAATATTTCAAATGGAAAGCAAAATAATAGACTTGTTTCAACAGATTACATATTTTTATTGTGTTATAAAGATATTAAACTAATTTAAATAAAGTTAACTGACTTTATTTGATAGGGTTTTTCGATAGGGTTTTGAATTTATTTGAATTAGCTTAATATCAATATAATAAATATTTCATGTTAAAAATTATAGACGACGTTCATATTGTCGATTTAAATTTAGTAGGAACTATCAAATGTGTCATAATTTTGACACATCATTATTTTTTATTTAAAATTACACCTTATCAACAAACATAAATTTTGAAAAAAAAGTGAAACTACTGTTTTTTAGTGTCACTTGAAGGCAATTTTATGGCCAGCAAAATTTCAGGGCAAATTGTACCACTGAGTGATACTTGGAAGAATTAACCAATAGCCATGAACGACTACACACCAAGTCGTGTCGATTTATGCATATTTTCTTTCATACGCGCGGGCAATTTCTGCAACTGATATATTCGGGCGCCCTGCGATTAGATTGAAGACTTACAAACTGGGGAAAGAGATACCCACAAAAGAGACAGAGGCAACAACAATGAACATCGAACAATTAGTTATTCAATGACATGCGACACCGAAAACAGAAAGACTATGTTGCTGAAGAAACGGCCTTTTTGATTCTACAGTACCGCGTTTCTAAAGCAATTTCACTACTGCAAAAGTTTTTTATTAACAGAAAATCCACCTAGAACACTTTGGAAAATAATGTAGTTCTACCACGGACGTGTGCAGATTTGCGGAAGGAATCAGATTCTGCAAAGTATTATGATCATCTTGTTAGTGAATTTTGATTCCTTCCTCTGCCTGTATCAATGGTTTTTATTTTTTACTAAGCGCTAAGAAAAATGATACTAGTACACCTGACGTGTGGATAGAAATGTTTTTTATAGCTTTATTATTGGAGAAAGTATTTTATGGCACTTCGAGGATAATGTTGGCAGTATCTTACCTAAATTATGTTTTTCTTATATATAATTCTTTCAATAATTGAAAAATGTTTAATTTTAAGATTTGTTTGAATAATTATTTTTACGATTACTTACTTTGTAATGTAACACAAATATTAAAAAAAAATAGGTACATGGAAAATTAGTATTAACATATTTTTTGGCATGAGGCCATTATTCCATTTCCAAAAAATGGATTCAAGAAATATTGATTGGTGACTTTGTTTGAAGATATTTCTTCCATCAAACATATCATAGATTGTACTTTCCTTTTGAACACTGTAAAATTCTATATACATTTCGTATTTTTGAATGCTAAGTCAGCTATGTTCATTTTTTTGTTTCCAAAATTTGAGAAACAAGCAAAACGCTTACGTACATTTAATTAAAAAATTTCAGACTGTTATTATTTTACTGGAGAAGGAATATAAAATATGTCGTGCTACTTTTTTAGATAAATTTTCAGCTGAAGACAAATTTTCAACGTTTTCTTTAATTTTGGAGCTATAAAAAAATGTTTGACAGTTTGGATCATTTTTGTAAGGCTGCAAGTTGTTTTTTAATTAGAAACTATCATTCTTGGAAAGTATGCACATATTATGCCGAAAATAATCACAGTTATCAAAAATTAATTGTGACAATGAATTCAAGACACATTTAGTGTCAACTCAAACCCAAAATGTTATATTTTTGACTCGTTAAACTAAAAAAAAACATATTGAATATTTGTTTTGACTTGAACATTTACTTCAAAAAGTGGCACAAATAATAACCGAGATACACTAGCTGATACCGAAAATGGGATGAATTGTATTACATAAATATTTAGGTAATAAAATAGAATTAAATTTTTTCAAAAATTGGTTTTTAACCAACACATAAAACAAATAGTTAATTCCTTCCCAAGAGTTGTACAATTTTTTTAACATTGTTTTTTGAAATTTTGATATTAGCAATATAATTAGGTACTGTTTGATATTTCTTAATGAATTTGGTAAATGCGCTTTGATGATCCTGTTTAACGTGGTTCTGTCAAATTTGAATAAAAAACGGTAATATGGTTTCTAAAATTTTACCAGAATGGTGCCGAAATGTTAAAAAATGTTGAATTTATGCTCTGTTCAAATAAAATGGATTCTCTACGATTTTGTGTTAATTTGTACATTTTTTATGATCGTGGTTTGAACTGATCGATCAGGCCACTCGAAGTTTACAATAAATTTGGAATCTATGAAAAAGATTTCTATCGACAACGTGAGCACTACATCGAAGGCTGTCCTAAGGCTACAAGGAATTTGGATGACCCATCACGGTGTGCTTAGGAAAGGTGAAAATTGTGTTGAAAAAGTGTCAAAGAAGCCTCAAACATTCGTCATTAAAAAACTACATGCGTCCATAAAAAGTATCGAACTGAAATTTCATATATGCATACGTTTTTTGGTAATTATTTTTGACGTTACAAAAAAATAGGTTAAACTATTTATCTATCTACAAAACCTGTTAACAATTTATTTTAACACTACTACAAAAGTATTATGATGGCAGTACATCGGCACTACATGTCATCATAATAAATTTGTTATTTGTTAATTGTTTATCGCAGTCTCTTTTTTGTTTTTGGGGCAATTTCCTGCGTGGCCAAGTCGTTCCCAAAGAAAATTATTTTTTAAGGGGGCCGGGTTAGAATTTACAACACGGTTATGAATTAATTGCTTTGTTAGCCGCGAATTTGTTTATTTAAAAAAATTACATTGTTTAATTTACTTTTTTAGCGTTCAGTATTAGTACATTACAAAAATAATAGTGGTTGTGAAATTCCTTCCCCTGCAAATTAATTTTTTTCTTCAGAAAATCAGTGAGAACAGGATATTATATGGAATGTATGAGACTCACTGATCTACCTGTTCTTACTAACACTTTCAACAAAATTTGATCTAATATTCATCCACAAAGTTACTCTTTTTGGTAAAAATAACGTGATCACAGAGTGTTATATCTACAAAAATTATTCATATCAACTGATTTTTTTCAGTAGAGGTATTACGAAAAAAGCCCGACTTATCTGCAAGCTCATATGGACAGTTTCAGCCATATCTTAACTATGCTCAAATTGCAATGCTGCCTCAGCTGTAATATCTCAACTAAACTAAAAATCACTGATAGCTATCAATTATCTCCTTAACTATGAAATAAATTTTATTGTGTTCTCTACCACGACGATGTGTTGTGAAGACGGCCCGCAGTAAGTGCCTTGTGGTGTCCCCAAATTCATTGCATTACACATTTACTTTCTATTTGAGACTTGAGTTCATTTACTTGTGTCTCTATCGTGTTCTTCAGTTCTGAAAGTGAAAATCCAAACAACATGTAAACATTTAGTATACAGTATGTATGTAAGATACACGCAACACTCATTCGGGCAGCAGATGAAAAATCCAATGGCAAAAAATAATACCTACTATAGTAGTAACATTAAATTCAGTGCCTTTACGTTAAATCTAGTAAAAATTATATTGGTTTTGAGTAAAATGGAAAATAAATAAATGGATTAAGCAAATTAGTTTCACTTGGTAATTTTTTTTGCTTATTTGTTTAAATATTGCATTAAATATTTCGTGCTGTTTTAATTCAATTTTTTTAATTGAGATTCATGTTTTTAATTTTCTTCAGGAATAGTCAAATGCATTTATTTATTATAGTTAAATTTTCTTTTAGCCCAGTCAAATTAGAGTTTGAACGTAAACAAATTATTAGCAGTATATAGAATGATAATATTAGAAAACTAACTCGAAAGAAGTGACGTTATGTTGGCAAATTGTAAATAGGCGGTAAAATTTCTTTTTTAAAATTTTTTTAACTGCCCATGAAAATCTAAACGACCTATCGGAAAATTAGTTATTTTATGTTGCTGACAATTAAATTATCTACAATTTAAGGTACCTAAAGTCATATTTCACCAATTTGTTAACTGTAAAATAAAGGTCGAATGCGGAAAAATTAGTTTTCGCGAATTGCGCAGTATTATTGCAAAAAGCGATGGATGTTGATGAAATTTATGGAAAAACCGGTCAACCCAATAGCCAACATGTGTGCCAAAGGTCGTTCGATTTACAGTGAAATTCTTGCTCCAGGTATTTGTTAATTAATTTCGTTCCTTTTCTTGCAACTGATTTTTTAATTGCTAAACGTTAATTTTAGAAGTTAATATCGTATATATAGGTTTTAATTGATTCAAAGAAACGTATTGAAAAAGAAAAATTTCAAAAAGTTGAAATTTAGTTGCTCTCTTTACAACTAACAAAGTAGGTTGTGCAAAACAGCGTTATAAATAAATTGTCCCAGAATCAAGCAAAAGCCTCTCCTGAATTTGCTCGTTTTGCATTATTTTTACGGTAATTAAAAAAACAAAGAAATCACCTACGCCTCTTTGATCCAAGATAGCTTTTGTTTATAACGTTAATTTTAAGTTTGCCACATATTTGCAATTTGCCATTTTTTGATATTATCATTCTACATATTCTTCACCGACATAAAGTGCAATAAAATGTAAATTAATATTTTTTAATTTTCATTATTTATGATTTTAAATTTTGTAAAAATCAAACAGAGTTGTTAAAGAGTTCCGTAACATAGCAACAAGTGATAAGAGCACTTAGGGACGTTTTTAGCTAACCATTGCTTTTATAAGCCATATCTAATGGTATAGACCAAATTGGTCAATTTTTTACATGTGATTAAAAATATAAATATCTTTTTGGAGGTGAAAAAATGTTCAGTAGTTAGGAACAAGTTACAAAGCATAAACTATACAGGGTGATTCACAACTTTTCCAAAAAAATTTTTGGGAATAGATGCTGCATGAGAAATGGAGTTAATAACGTAAAAAAAATGTTTGTAAAATCCTTATAGTTTCCGTGAAAAAAAATATTGAAATTATAGTACATTCAACCACTACATAGCTGGACAACTGTAGTCTCTAGCGTCATTCGCAATACGCGTGGAGAGCCATGTGACTCCTAATACTGAAATCCGTCGTTGCGGTAGTTTTTACCTGTTATCTGTGGTGTTTGCAACAGTTTTTTAGTAGTTAGTGTCAAAAATGGTTTGCGTGCATAGCAACTCAGAGTTGATGGATATCGTTTTATTTTATGGTGAAGCAAGACATCATTTGTGTTAGTTCGTAGAAAGTGAGTAAGACGGACCCAAATGTGTTTACACGTTAGTGGATAAAATTTTGAACAATTGTTGTTGTAACATCGGGTATGTCAAATGATTTTATTATTTAAAAACACAAATTAATTTTATTAATAATTAATATAGGCCGATATAAAATAGGTGCTATAAAATTTTATTTATTTATTTCCTTGCGAAAGTTTTTGTCCGTTTTTATCACACCCCCATGCCGGTCGCATTGTGCGAGGTCAGGTTTTACAGTGGACCAGTTTCCAGTGCCGTGCAGAAGTGTATTTTTAAATCAATTTCGAACTGCCCTTTTTGATTTTTTCTTTACAAAATTGTATTTGTAAGACTCCCCTGTACATCCAGAATTTTTTTTTTTGGATAAGTTCTGTATCACCCTGTATAGAGTGGTAACTGGATTGTGTAGGGAAAAGCCCATTCACTGTACGCCGCTGTTATTTGCAAATATAGTAGTATACTTATATGATGTTTACTGAGATTTAACTTATTATAACTTAGCAATAATGAATTTAGGATTATTTAATTTTAAAATATAATTTCATATTGTTCAGTGTGGTTTACTGTTGAATAAATAAATTATACAAAGCAGGATTGTCTGGAATTATTATTAGAGTTCGGGGTTCGGCTAGTCATAGGGGTGTTCGTCGTAAACAAATAAATAAGCAGGTAGATATAAATAAAAATAAATAAATTTGCGTACTTTATCAGCGAAATGTCGTTTTTTACCACTTGACGCGTTCGACATTATTAGAATATTAAAAGACCTATAGATGAAGCAAAAGCGAAACCAATAACTGCCGTTATTACCGGTTTCGTCCGATGCGCTGTAGCGAAAGGCCAACGCGACGGCTATGATCATCCGACCGAGTCCCGAACTCTAATATTATTATTTAATAACTTACAATCTGCACAACATTTATTTTACTGATAATGTTAATTTGACATAATCAGCACTCTATGAATAAAAAAATCCTCAATGCTTATTAAATAATTTCTGGTCCACCCACTAGGAGTGCTCGAACTTTTAAAGAAACTCTGTACTAGAGGTTCCACTCCATATAGTGTATGCTTTGTGGAAAAAGTTAGCTAAAGTGAATTTTTCTAATAAACTTCTATTTTTATAGAGCGTTAAAAAAATTGCCATAAATTCAAGAATTGGTAGAATATAAAAAAAGACAATATTTTCTCAGTAATTAACATTTTTCTCATAAATTAATGAAACCGAATCTTGCAGAGGTCGCCAGCTGTGATATTTCCCAATGACATTTAATATTCCTTTTTGAGGTTAAATTTTCTGTATTGTATGTTGCATATTAACGGACCTTTACAATTTATATTATAATGTGACATACGAACCTACCTTCAACAAGTTATATTCTAAAATATCATGTATTTAGCATACTCAAAAACTTGGTTGTGCTAAATTTCGTATTATTTTTAAAGAAAATATGACCCTAATTTGGTTTAAGAAAATCATTGTAAAAAAACAAAGGTAGATATCTTTGAATTTATGGCATCTTTTTTCTTGCTAAACTGCACTTTGTGTTTTGTGAATCGACTAAAAAGTGGTTCTTTTATGGACTTAAATAAAGATCACAGAAATCTAAAAAAGCTAGAAGCATTTCGGCCTTTATGAAATAAGTTTGTATTGAAACAGCCAGTACAGTAATAATGAATTAATTAACTGCATAACTTTATGTTCAGCGTTTTGTACAAACATTTGTAAATTATATACAGAGCCAGACGAGCTATCGATGGAATCAGTGCTTCCAAAAATGTTTCTTCGTATTATCGTGGTAAGTTTTTAAAAAACATATTTCGAAAAAAATATGTCTGCCATTGAAGTTTTTGCACCTCCATTTATTTATTGTTCAAATATACTCCTCAAGTTTATAGAAATCCTATATAAAAAGACGTCCCAGAATTAGTGGAACACGCTGTATAAATTTGACGAGTATTTAATGAATATAGTAAAAACCTCGAATAAAACTGTTTTATGTAAAAAAATAGAAATCACTAAAGACAGATTACTTATTTATTTGACACTGATAAATTTTAGTGCAATTTTTGAAACGAAAAGCAAAATGAAACGTATTTTCTAGCAAATTTACAATTTAAAAATACTTTATTTTTTTATTCTGAAGAACTAGTAAACCAATATTTTCAATATTACCAAAGCTACAGGTATAATAAGAAATTTTACAAATTCACCATCAGATTTTTCGCCTTGTTCTTTGTTATGGTAATTACGCATCTTGATACAAATAAACAAGTGAAGAATTCATGCAGAGGAACATAAAAATGAAAACGTATAATGTGTAAAAATAAAACAATAGAAAAATAAAAAGCAAGTAAAGTTTATTCAAACATAAGAATATTAAACAACACTTATTAAAAATATTACAGAACGGCTAAATAATAAAAAAAATACAGAAATATTATTGATAAGTAAAAATTTATTACATACAGAGCGACAAAGACATCCGTCTATTTAGTTGATTTTGCCCTTTCAAACACAAAAATTTCAAATTAGTGGATAGAGAGGTTTGTTAAAATTTATGTTTTAATGATATCAATTGTTGTTCTTAAATATTGAAATATATTTTAATTCCTTTAATTCTAACTAAATGTCTAGAGATATTTTGGAGTATTAAGATAAGCGATATTGTCATTTCTGTGTTACAAACTTAGGAGAAATTATATGAAACGTTTTGTCGTTGTCACTCTACAAAATTACGATAGGAAGAAAGGCTGAGAACAAATTCTTTAGGTCCTAACTTCAGCGGCCTATAAAATCATTTATACAAAATTTCTTCTCTGCCTTTTACGGCCAAAAAGTACAAAGTAAAATGATAAACACCAAATTTAAGAAGAACAATCAGAAGAAGAAAAGAGAGATCGCGTACATTTTGGCAACACGTTTTGAGTCATATTGTCCGTAGACTTTTAGGCCAAGGAAGGCACGTTTCAGAATTTTATTGTTGGTTTGTACTCAGAGATACAGGCGATAGACCTATAATAATATTAATAATCGCGATTTTCACATATATAACATTTAGAGTTTAATATGAATTGTGAAATATTTAACTTTGATAAAGGGTTATAAAAAACATTTAATCGGGTAAACTACAAACTACGAATAAAATTATGGAAAACGTGATGTTAAGGGAGGTAATTTCCGTAGATTTTTCTCTTGCCGTTCTGAAAATGTTCAGAAGCATCACATTTTCCAGTGAATTTCGATGTTTTCTCTTTACCAATTACCAACAACTAATTTTTCATAGGTTTTTTTTTCATTTACATTGTTTAAAATTTACAACATCGGACTTAAAAAAATACAATTTCAATAATATAGATAACATGAAAGAAATGAATAAATATAGCCTCGTTCCGAAATATTGTCAACCATTGATTGGAAAGAGTATATTTATTTGTGAAATTTCCAAGAAGAGATTATTTTTGTAATTCTTGATACACAGACTTTCTTTTGTTAAGATTATCTTCATATTTTCAGGTTGGCACCTCCTTCAAAATATAGATATTGTACAATAAATTAATTACAATACAATTGAGTAAATGTTCTTGGTATTAAAACAAACAAAAATATTTTATTTAAATATCCCCCTAAGCAAATTCTTAATTATTTAATCTTGTTTATTTGTATTTTAATTATGACATAACTCTGTTTTTTCATGTATGTGTGGATAATTTAACCTACAGGGTGTTTCCGAAAGCCATATCATAACTTCAAGAGGCTATTTTCTGGGTCATGTTAGACTAAAAGCCTTAAGGTATTAAATATCTAAAATGGTTGATTTTTGAGATAAAAGGTGTTGAAGTTTAAAAGAAATATCACTTTTATTAGATTTCAAATCTGTTAACCAGTGGCGGAGATATAGGGATACGCTGCCATTAAAAATTTCAGAATTTAGATAACAATGAGTAATTTGGAAATTGAAACAGTCAAATTGAGATAGGTAAGAATAAGGTATCTTTCACTTTAAATTAGTTTTAAGTTATGATTTTTTTAAGCCAAGATACTCGTCTCGTAAGCTTATAACTAAGCTAAATAAATATATCCACCTCTTCTATTCGTAAATTAAAATGGAATTTCTCGAATAAATCTTTAAATACAGCATTAACAAAAATTCAAACAACCATTTCGTTAAAGAATTTAAATTATCTCAATTATTATTTGACAGATTTGTATACTAATTCAGTTACTTTTTATTTATTAATTAATTATGTCGTTAGCGCAAATTTCATCAATCTAAGTCAAACATAGAGATATTTGAATAAATGATATATATTTTTTAAGTTCACTACCCTGTTTTTCTAAAAACTAGTTGTTCTAGATCAACACTACTTGAATATAAAATGACCCAAAGAACGATCTCTTGAAGGTATCTCTTGACTCTAATTCGTATTTTATTTTCATACTGAGGAATTTAGAAAAGCAACGTCATACTTTCCAGACTATGAATGAAATTATTTACAAGACGCGTCAGAGGAATTTTGAAACAGGTTTAAATTTTCCTGAAATTTGCATGAGTACAATATACTGTTTCCAGTAAAGCTCGTCTAAGTGAAAAAGCATTGTTGAAAATTCGTTGTACAATTTATATTTTATAAAAATTTTCATGAAAAGAGTTAAAAAGTAAAAGTCTTCAAAATAAATTTATACGTCACTGTAAGTCAAATTATCAATCATTCTATTCCACACTAGTGTAACTCTAACTTGTTAAAAATAACATTATAATGTATGAATTCATTAAGTTTGACAGATGCGTAAATTTTAACAAAAATTCTCTCGTTAAAATTAATTAACATTTAATAGTGGAGCTACAAGAATATAAATGTTTTTGATCTTTTTGATGATATTAAATTAATTAAGTTACAGTTCACTTCTAGGACTTAATTATAAAATTACGGATATTTGTATTTATGCAAACAGAAAAGGAACTGAATTATTGTTTTAAATATTGATTAATAAACTGTTTAATTTTAGAAGCTTGGAACATTACATGTATGTAATTGACTGTCGTAATGTGCGTAAAAGCTATATTTATTCATTAAGGTTGGGTGATCTTAGGAAAGTACTATCAAAGGTCGTCTATTCATCTATTTGCCGTGTTTTGCGCGTGTCGTCGTTCTAGGAAGCTCGCAACTACATCACACTACATCTTTTGCGGATATTCCTAAATCTCGCTAAGCACTCACTTGTGAATTCGTCCTCGTCTGCCTCTTCAGCCTCCCTCGCCAGTTCTTCAGGCGTTTTCTTTTTCCGCATCAGCGGGTTGGGTTCTTCTTGGACCGGGTCCACTACCTCCTCCTTCTTCTTTATGTTGTACTGTAACAAATTTGGAATTTTAATTTCAGAATTTCTTACTTGGAACTAGTAAGAAATTTGGTGATATAAATGTTTTTTCTCATCAAAGATGATTGCTGTATTTATTCAATATTAATGTTAATTCAGTCAAGTTTAATTAAAATACAGGGTGTTCCGTTCCTTTAAAAGGCTGATAGTGGATACGAAACTGAGCAACTTTTATTAAGCTACAGATTGTCTAAATACTTCTGTTTTCGAGAAAATTAATTAAGAAAATTAGCCATAAATGTAAGCCGCCCCTGCGCATCTTGTGCACATGTACGACCAGAACGCTTCGGACTCGCTACATGCGTGAAGCGCTTTTCTAATTGGCTGATATTCCCCGTGATTTCCACAATCAAGCAAATCTGATGGTAGGTCAGTATGTCTTGTGTTCTTTAGTTGTGTGTTGCGGTATTACTTAATCGGCGTAAAAAATGTTTTCTGCTCAACTAGCAGATATGGTGTTAATGTAAGGAGAATGTAGTATAATTTAAATGAGACTTGTCGTTTCTATGCGGTCCGTTACCGTAACAGACGACAACCTAACAGTAGAACAGTGCAAAAGGCATTTCATAGGTTACGGGATACCGGGAATGTCCACCTGACATATGAAGGTCGTGGACGGGAAAGGCCGCAACATGTTTTTGACAACGAAGAAAACATCATAAATATTGTTGAGGAAGATCCGAGGCACAATACTCGCAACATTGGCCGTCGAGAAGTGGGTGTATCTAACAGTACTGTGTCGCGAGTACTACGGGAACAATTATTATTATATCCCTATCATGTACAAAAGGTTCAGGCATTAAATAACAATGATTTTCAGCCCCATGTGGAATTTTGCCAGTGGTTTCGACATCAAATAGCACAAGATCCGGATTTTACACGCATGGTGCTTTTTAGGGATGAATGTTGTTTTAAATTTTCACAACATTGTATTAGAGGTCTCGCTTCCAGCAACGGTTTTCAATGAATGTGTGGTGTGGTGTTTTTGGTGACAGATCGGTCCAATAGTGTTACCTGCACATTTAAATGGTGCTGCTTATTTAGAGTTTTTAACAAACGCATTAGCGGATTTAGAAGACGTCCCTTTACAAATCCGCGCCCAAATGTTCTTCATGCTGATGATGGCGTTTGTAAATTTTTACATATCAACTTTCCGGGAAAGTGGATAGGACGAAATAGGCCTGTACGAAGTCCAGATATGAACTCTCTGGACTTTTTTTGTTTGGGGGTGTATGAAACAAAATGTATACCTACCGAATGCCTATTGTCGATGCAGCAGATCTTCAACAGCGTACTTTTGCTGCAGCTAATGAAATTCGACAAATGCCGGAAGTATTTGCGCGTATTAGTACTAATTTTAACCGTCGTGTGGAAGCATATGTAAACATCTTTGAACAATTTTTGTAGAGCATATCGTTTGTTGGTACGTAATCGTTTATTCGTTTGATTTTTGTGTTACTTTTAAACAAAATTTGAACAGCATTTAAACCGTCAAAACCGCCATCAGCGCTTGTGTATTACGGCGCGCGGCTATTTCGATATCAAAGCTTTAAATTTGTTTAAACCTTCATTTGAAAATTTTTCTCTTCAATTTAAAAAGTAATATTTTTTATACCGTCACTTTCTTAACTAAAGTTGCTTATTTTTGTAGAAGAAATCCATCAGATTATAATAAATCTAATTTTAAATTATTTAGATCTCGCTACCGGTTTGAAATTTCTAAAGCTAAGAAAATGGCTAACGATACTTTTATAAAAACGCATACAAATTCCCAAAAAGCAATTTGGAATTTAGTTAATAATACTAAAATGAGTTACTCAAATAATTTAAGTAACTTGACACCCGAGCAGTTTAATAACTATTTTATAAATGTTGCTAACAATGTTATAAGCAATTTACCCGTTAATAACAACGATTTAAATAGCTGCCTCCAATTACTCCGTCCAGTGAATAGTTTTTCCTTTTCTGAAGTGTCCCCTTGGGAAGTCATTGCTATTGTTAAGAGTTTTGAGAGCAAACCCTGTTTGGATGTATATAATATTTCAACAAAAATTTTAAAATCAATAATCGACCCAATATTAATACCTTGCACCGATTTAATTAATTACTGTATACGTAAAAATATTTTCCCCCAATGTTTAAAAATTTCTAAGGTTGTTCCTATTTATAAAAATAATGATATTAATAATCCCTCTAATTTCAGACCTATCTCTGTAATACCTCATCTAGCT